ACATTTGAATGTGATTTAGAATTGACAATGATTCGATGTGTTTGTTAGCTGTTGATGGTCGATAGTCTATGCAGTATCCAGCAATTTTGAGAAATGGGAAACGAACTGGCGATTCACCTGATGTTAAGTAATAACCACCGTCCATGGACATTAGCAACACCCGTAGGGTTGCAAATGCGTTGCCACCCTTACATAAAATGTGCCACGGCTACCTCACTCACCACGCGAAACGCAGAAGTGTAACACTTTACGCCAGTCTTCTTTGAGGTCGTGGTACTTACCTGAACGGACCTGCCCATTAATGAAACAGTGTATTACTATGATGTCCAATGTATTACTATGATTATCGATTTAAATACGTATCAACGTGGTTTAAACGGGCTTAAGTCATAAGAATCCATTACTATTATAAAAATTCACTGTCGCTATATACCTACTTTGTATAAAATATATCAAAGCATCATATTCGTAGTCACTCCCAAGACATTTCTGAGTGTCTGAGCCGCCGGCTATTGTATATACTTCTGTACACAACCAAACACGAGAATAGAGAACCAGTATAAATTGGACCGTACCCCCACATTGATACGCTTTCTCGGACATATTGTTTCGAATGTATATGAAAAGTTGCTCGTAGCTCATGCAGAAATTGACAGTTTATAGCAAGGATACAACGGGATGTCACATGCCGAAAATGAAAAATGGTCTACCCACAGCTTCGGCGTTCCTTGAGGGTTTAAATTCACAATAACGCGCCTCAAAAAAGAAACGTGACAACATTTTTCCGCTCTGGTCAGGTGGGCGTCATGTATTTGTCATTTTCAAGTGTTTTGCATCATTAATGTATGATCATGTTAGAAATCACGGACTAACTAAACTTAAAATGATTCCGAATTTGGCGCTAATGTTTCCTCTTAAGTGTGCTTTAATTGCAATGTTCATATTATTGAACGGGGAAGAACTGGTGAGATCTTCTTACTGCCGAAACTGAGAAAAGACAGAGTATCTGTCAACTGCCACCCAATCACTCTGTTCCCTCGTATTAGGAAGCTCTGAAAGATTAATTTTAACTCGCATTGCTGTTCGGTGCTACACGAACTTGTGTCGACAAGAAATTTAGACGTAAGTCAGCCGGACTCTTTTTCTCTCGGGAAAGCCTTCGACCCGGCGTGGCACAAGGGTTAGCTATTTAAATTAATTGATGGCAGCACATTGCCAAAAGCTATAATTTTACATACCGGTTGGATAAGTGGCGGATAAGGTTCAAATTTGTGAGTGAAACTACTAATGGTGCGATGAGTCTTGCAAAAAGCACTGTTTTGTGTTTGTAATTTTAGGTTGTCAATGGCGTCAGTCTCGTAACCGTTAAGTGTTTGGGGTTGATATGGTCCACAAAATATGAGTAAAAATGATGGCGACCTCAATGTGAATAATAGTATATTAGAGACTACGAGTAGTGACCTTTTTCATTACCTTCTTAATATTATAAAAAAATATTTTTAGGACACATTTTTACACAACGTTTTCTAGTCCTAAACTAAACATAATTTCTCAAAAGATTTACAAAACAAATCACTTACAGAGAAAATACAAAAACTATAGTAAGTACAACAAAAACTTTCCAACCTGTCGAAGCCAGTGGACTAATTATAAAAAAATACTGATGACATAATAAGGTAGATACAAAAATAAGAAGATAATAGTTTTTACATTATGTGTACTACATTGTAATTAAGCGGTAATTATCTATATTCGAAATACAAAAAGGTGTATACTAAGGTCTATACCATATTGGCCGATTGATTCCATAGCTATAATGATTGTTAACTACTTATTATGCATATTATCACGCAATCGCACAATATTTTTCCAGTAGTGAGGCTCGAACCCACACCCTCTGGCGCAAGAGGCAGTCATACATATTAGGCTGGCCCATGCTGTGGATATTGTAACGTTACATAGTTTGTGTCCGAATTACATGACTTGATACTCGGTTGTGTTTATCACAATAGCAACGACACGTAATTTTGCGCTATTCTACAGCCGTTCATTTATGTAATCACCGCACTTACCGATGTAGGTTAGATTCTGCTCCGGTAACCGTTTAACTAAAGTACACACGGAGTATCGCATCCAGTTCGCTTTATAACAATAAATCATACACTAGGTAAGTACAGCATGGACGGATTCGCAACGCCTTACCATTTTTCATGTGCAGGACTGTGTTCGTAAGACTTATACGTTCTTGCTTATCCAAATATATTGGAAACACATTTATAATACCGTCTTCGATTTAGTAAACCCGTTAAGACAGATCGCAATCGACACTTTATCGAATGTACAAAAGTAGTCTCTGGTGACCAGTATGGACGTCCACCTTCATCATTTGCATTTTTATACGTCCTTACTATAATATTATTATAAAGGCGAAAGTTTGTATGAATGTATGGATGTTTGTTACTCTTTCACGCAAATACCACTGAATGGATTTTAACGAAACTTTACAATAATAAAGCTTATACATCAGTTTAAGGCATAGGCTTATAATTTATAAAGATATCGTGTGAATTGCCCAGTATAGGTGTCAACTAAGTAGGAAAAAATTCAGCCATCTGCAAGATTATGCATGCATTTTGGTGTAAAATAAAAAAAATCTTTGTTAATTACCTTTGGCTGCGCGGGTGAAGCCGCGGTTAACAGCTAGTTATATATATATTTATGATGCGGAGTGCTCTGAGGAATTTTTCGACTTAATACCTGCTCCGATATTAGCGAGTAATAGTTGTATTGCAATGCGTAGACAAATCCTGACACTTAATGAAAGCATGGTCATATTATTTAGAATTTTTGTACGCCCATAAAGTCCTAATATGTTTAACGACAAATAAAGCCGTCAGCGGGCTCTATCGCTTCACGTTTACAAATAATGCAGCGTATCTGTTTCGCCGGCTGAAGAGATACTGCCCGGGGGCCCATCACAAAGGCGTGATAGGCGCCGCGGGGCGGTGCAGTGCTGCCATAAATTCGCAATAAATATCGCGCATTGTGCCCGGGATAGATTAATTTAGTCGGGCGACGGTATCGCGCGCGGGCGTTCCGGATTTATTTGTGTTGCAGCATTGAGGCCGCGTGAAAAATGGCCCGTCGAGGAACAGTGCCCTGAATGGGTTGCTGTTACGTTCGGCGACGCTCCAATATGCTCTCTATTCTATCTAGATTCTCTCTAGTCTTAGCAGCGGAGGTAGCCCACATTGCTCCATCCTTATGGGAATCTATGGACTATTTCAGCGGACGCTTCGTGCTCTACCAGTGGGTTATTCAGTGAGCGCGTAGTGGACCTTTTAGCTCGCTCTTGCATGTGTTGTTACATAAACTTGTTCTTGACAGTGACAGTAAAAATAGTGTCCCTATGTTTTGATTTTGCTGCGGGGGGTTTAGTCATGCTATATGCCTAATTTATTTCGAGCATATATTTTTCTCAACACTATAATAACATGTATTTAAATTATATCCACTGAATATTGCTATAATAAGTCCATATTTTGTTGTCTATTAATTTTCGTTAAAATTAATAGAAGGCATGCGGTATCTTTTAGAACTTGTGAAAAACGTGATTGACATTTGCCCAAATGTATGACGTAGAAAGAAAAGAAAGAAAAATATTCAATGCTAAAACATTTCCATCGTTTCATTTTTTCTTTATCGGAGGATTTTGTCGTTTACAGCCTATGAATAGTTTTATGAGTCACATGATTTCATGCATCATAGAATATCCACATTAAATATGGATATCTTTACTTGAGTCTTAAGAATCGATAATTTGGAATTTGTTTTTATTTTAGATATTGATGATTATTAACCACCCATGAACACTGGCAACACCAAAGTAGTCACACATGCGTTGCCCGACTCCGAGGTAAAAGTCGTAACGGTTCGAAAATACCACTGGGAAGAACTGAATTCTCAATTTGATTGTGCGTGGCGGAAAATTGCATGTAAAACACACAATGGTGGACTGCTAGCCATTAATATGGTGTCAATATTAGCGTGGTACGGCGGTAAAACTCAGTAGCAGGCATTAATCCGAGAAATCTTCGTGATAAATGCTATAGAAAATGCAGAAACGAAATGACTCTTCGCAAAGCCAAAGGGCCAACGTGATTAAAGAGGACCAGGTTGTCGACTGGAAACATTCTAAGTAAGATTCTGCAGAATTTAAGGAGCTCGTGTTGAACTATTTGATTATTCACACGGAAATACCAAGTATTCGCAAGTACATAATTTGATGTTTCCTGAAAGTGACGAAACAAACTCAGACCACACTTTTTTAAAGGTTTTCAATGCATCCATAAGCCCTCAAATGTTACAGATGTCCATGGGTGGCGGTAATCAGTTAACGCGAGGTGAACCGCCTGCTCGTTTGACAAATTTTGTCTGAAAAAATCATAATAATAAAACTCAAAAGTAAAGTATTAGTGAAGATAGAAAAACGTTTGACTTAGGATTTACTTTATAATACTTTAATTTCTATTAACCATTTCCCTTAAAAAAAGCTTGCCAGAATTGTTAAGAATTCAGTCCAGTGTGGCCATCAGTTTAGGTGACCACACTGGTAAAAATATTGAATTAGACATACAAAACATACGATATTAGTCACCTATCACTGAAATCGTTGCCCAAATATCTAATAACTGCAGTTATTGACAACAAGATTATCTGAAATGTGTTATGTCTATCGAAACTCTAATTGGATTATTCAAACCGTTACGCTTGAATACATTTGACATACCTACATTAAAAAAACATAGACACTGTTGGTTTTCAATAAATATGTATTCCTATTATCCTTATGACATATATGTATGTGTATATTTCACGTATACTATTTTATTAATATTTTTATGAGAGTGATATAATCCTGGCGTAAAATACAGTGAATTTTAGGTTTCTATTTGTGGATCTTTTTTTAATAAGTCGAGTTACATTTAAACTTAAAACTAAGTTGTCATCGCTGTTTCCGCTGTGACGGCATTCGTCTCACCGGTGGCCTCGCTGTGGGTGTAATCCGTCGCTTTTGTATCACCACCGACTACTGTTGCAGCAGTGCTGCCAGTACCGTCTGTGGTAACGACGCTTTCCCCGGTAGTGGTATCCGTATAGTTGTCGTCGACAGTGGTGACGGTCGTTTGGACCGTGCTGAGTTCCTGTTCATCTGAACCGTAAATCTTGTGATAGTCCTCGTCGCCGGCCCTTGCGGCGAATATGCACGTGGCGACGCACTCGTACTCGTCCCTAAACATGTTGGGGTTCGGCAAGCAGCCCCGCCAGAATCCCACCTCGCACCGCGACCCCGGCTTCCAGTAATACATGACTGGAACTGGCGTTTGACCGCAGTCTTCCCACCTAAAATTCGCGAAACACGCCTCTGGTGGCACTGCGAATTCAACGATCGAAATAAATGCGACTGAATAAATAACTTTATAGTGCTGCAGAAAATGAAACTGGTTATGAGTTTTCATAATATAAACATTAATGGCTAAAGGCATTAAACGTCTCACGATGCATCGTTAAATCTTAACGAATGTTTTTATGCTTAGCAAGTACTAGAATTAAACAGCTCAGAATTTCACAACAACAATAACTATACATCTAACTCGACGAAATCACTTGGGATCTTGAGAACAGTCAAAAAATTAATTGGTATCCTATGAGGCAACGTACTCCAAAGAACTTCGTAGATTAGTTTATGAGGTAGGTTAGTCAGAAAGCCAAGAATTACAGGACATCAAACTTAATTATGAAGCTTCTGGAAAAGATTTTTTGAAATGTAAAATATTTTAAAGTTATTTCAAATTTTTTGTATACAAATATTTTCATTTCACCTTAAGGATAAATTTCGAACTTTTTTACCATAGTCGATTATTTATAAAAAAAAACTAATCTAAAACTTAATACTATTATGACACACAACATACCTGCCTTGATCCCCATAATGTAGACGACAAACACCAAAGCGATCTCCTTAGACACATCCATAACGAGAAACCAAAAGAAAATAGCTTACGACATCATTAATTAAGATTTAATAACGTAAGAATTCATTAAGATAAGGAGAAAATTGCCACTGTGCGTAAAACTTATAATGGCGCGCTTACTTTTTAGTGTTGGGCCAATGAATAAACACACACTATCCCGCAACGGTTAAAGTTCGCGCTCTGAGGTACGTCACTAAAACGTAGGGTCGTTAACACAACGCTCCCGACCATTATGAATATCCTCGGCAATTATAGCGGCTACATGACCCCCGCTATCTTGCGCTATTCCGTTATAATGTGTTTTATGCTATTCGCTAACCTTTTTGTAACATGTTTCTCGTTTTAATGCATTATTCGGAATTTGGAAGTTTCCGCGGGAATCGCGCGGTGTGTCTCAACAGTTTAATCTTTGCATACGTAGTAATTAACGTTTATATTTTCGGTTTACACTCATTACTCACGCTTAAGGAGAACGTAACCCGGTATTTTATTCTAAAAAAAAGAAAACATTAAAGCGGAAAAAGGTAACAACGGTGGTAGGGCCACGCAGCAGCCTCGGCTGTTGCACGAATGGGCAGGTCCGTCCGGGTAAATACCACGACCTCACAGAAGACCAGCGTAAAGTGGAAGTAGGACAAATACTTTCGCGTTTCGTCTGGTGAGTGAGGTAGCCGGAGCCCAATTTTCAAAAAGCTGTCAACGCATCTGTAACCTTTGGGTGTGGCAGATGTGCGGCGGTATTCACTTAACATCAGGTGAACCGTGTGCTCGTTTGACAACTTTTCGCATAAAATAAAATAAAAATAAAGGTAAGGGAAAATAAAATAGCCGGGTTTCTGTCTTAGTGAATGTTGTTTTGTTAAAAATAGTGTTTAAAACATAACGTGTGTTGCCAAGCTCTCCAAGTCACACATACAAGCATGAAAAAGAACAATCACTAGTATTTAGTGTAGTTGTAGTAAAATATTTTCTTCCCGAAATAACACTCTTATTGCTATTGTCTACGATATAAATTGTTTCTAACTATAATCAAAATTTATCATGGATATCATAGAAATTTAATTCCATCATTTTATGATCCTGTAACTAAACTAAAAAAAAGAGAACGGAATCCATTAGAATCATTTAAAGTTTAGAATATTAATGACATATAATCGATTCCTAGCTTTATGTAAAGCGAGGTATACGAAAGAGGTATTAAAAATAGCGCCTACTACGTTACGTATTTCTGTACCACATTATCAAGATTGGCCCGAGTCTTGAAATAGTGAAATATACTTCATGAACATGTATGAGTGACGCCAACAGTGCTTGAGGAAAAAGTTTATTGCCTCGACGGCCGACGGAACCGCTTTTATGGGCGCCGGTGCGAATTTTTATACTCGACAAACGCCCCGAAACTATCCCCTACATACACACCTATAGACGCTACACACAACTACGATCATGAAAAAAAATCAAGGCATTTTTCGGGGAAAACACCTCTCATCTTACAAAAGTATTCGTCCTAATTTTTGTAGACTTTAAACATTGTTTAGATCTTAACAATGGCTAGCTAATTGTCCGAGCACTCGCTTTTTATTCAATATACTCGAGCTACCTGAGTTCGATCCCCGGTGCTGGCACCAATGAAATTGTTAATTTTAAGAGCTGACTTATCACGTGCTCATCGATGAAGGATAACATTGTGAGGAAACCTGCATATTTTCGAAAAAATAACAAAAAAATGATATATGTAAAGTCTGCCAATCCGCAGTGTGGTCGCGTGGTAGACTATGCCCTAATACCTTCTGTACAGAGGAGGCCTTTGCCCAGCCGTGGGACATTTACCAACATTACTTTCACTTATTTTAAAATGTTTGAAGGTTCAACTAAACGGTTAAACGAAACTAAAACCCTAAACGATTTTAATCGTGATTTTACCCGACTTCGGATAAGCCAAAAAAGATGGTTGTGTTTTTAGCAATTATGTCCGTTCCTATGATCCCTCGTAACTCTCGTAAACGGCTGACCCGATTTAAATGAACATTATGTCGTTGGATTTCAGCTCCACTACTGCCATATTAAAAATATAGAAATCAAAGTAGCGATATTTTTTTACACCTTAGCCAGGGTTTTAGTTTCTTTTTTCATCATCATCATCAGCCTGTTTGAGTCCACTGCTAAACATAGGCTCTCCCATAGACTGCCACGAGGTACGGCCAGCCCATCTCAACTCCAGCTTACTAACCTTCTCAGCTATATCGTTTATCATTGTTCTACTAGGGGTGTGTTGTTGCGAACTCTAATCACGCAGAGAAATACCGAGCATAGCCCGCTCGATTTTTTTATTAGTGACATTTTCCTGTGTGGATTGTAAATGAAACAAATTAGCATCTTCACGCGCAATGTGATTGCGGAACGCTCGGCTAGGCCTTTATGACAGAGAGTGCATATAAAAAAGTAACATTTTACCTTGCGGTACACCTCTATATATAACTATGTGTACCTGTATCAGTACATAAAAAAGTAAAGTTTACCCTTGCAGTGAAAATCAATAACTAATGCTCGAATTACCAGAAAACATCCAGATGCCTTGCAATGCGAGCGATTGAACGGTCCCCTAATCGAGGCCATACTTTTAATAGAACGCGTGAAAGAAAGGGCTCTTCTCGATAATTGCGCGGGATTCCGCTCACTCGGGCGATGCAGTCCCAATCTCTTTCACCGCGGGCCACCCGTTCCCCGTACGCGGTTATAATTGGTTTTAAATCTCATTTGGGCGCCTCAATTAGAATATTTAATCACGTCTCAATTCGAAACAGGAGATGAGCCCCGCGGCGCTCCTCCTGTCTCGATTGCGGAATCCAATCGGATACCGACGATTACGGTAAAAGATTAAGAAATTTCGAACGCCCCTTTATGTCTGTTGAACAATGACTGGAGAGATTGATTTTTCATTGTCGATTTGTTTACACCGATTGATTTCTAATGGTTTATTATGATCTTGGTTGAATTTAGTTTCTTATTATAATCAGTTCGAATTGTTGCATGTTCATATATGAGTCGTTACTATTATTTTAATTACAAATTTAAGTCGGCATTGAAGATTCGATGATGTAAATTGAATACATATTGTTAAATTAGATGATGTGTTAAAAATATTTTCATATACTTAATTTGTCTCTATTGAAGCAAAAGGAATAATGAATGAATGTTTAATTAAAACTATGTGAGTAGTATCGGATAAACGATTAAAAAAGATAAAATAAAAAGTTTAGCATTTAAGTTCGTTTAACTTTACTTTCATTTTGTTTCGTTAAAATATAAAAATAAAAGACCTATATAATTTTGTTTTGTTCATTCTTCTCTGCACCTAATGATGGTGCGACATTCAAAGTTTTTTGTTTCAAACACGGATTTGAACTCAATAATTCATTGCAAACTTTGTCTGAAACAAATCAAAATAGTACCAAATCTGCATCGATAAAACTAACAAGGACAATTCCATAAAAAATAAAAAGTAATACGAACCAAAAACAAGAAGCCGTATCCCGGCTTGGCTTTAAATCAGTGCACTTGAAGAACCGAATTCTAATGCTATGTAGGATAAGATATAAAAGAATATTTATTAGTATGCTTATTAGCAGTCATTGGGCGAAATGTGCCTTAATTGGGAATGCCTTGATCCAGAAATCGTATGAACAATAATACATATTATATAGGTAGTTACGTGGATACAATCAAAAGCTCACCTAACGTGCCACTAGCCAACTTTCCAACTTCTAGTTGGATGCATAAATACATATCGCAATAGCACCGTTCACAATACATCGCACGGTCCACCTTTAGGCCGCCGACTGTACGCCGTTCGATACCGCAAACTAAAACGCTAACTACAGTTAATTCGGCATCCGAGTGCCGCTTATTAGGCGTCCCGGAAAGTTTCCATTGTTGAGTCCGTCCGGGGAGTTGGGACCTAGTGCGGCCGTTTCGATCGCGGGCAAATTTTAGCACCCACTCAAAGGGGAGCGCGATTTATTAGTCCGCTTCCAGTTGGCGAAGTTTTAGAGGTGCGACTAGCTCCGTAGCAGTGATTAAACTGGCCAGTGCGCTATCGAGCTATGGCATAGGTCTTTTAATTCCTTGAGCAAATTTTTTTTTTAATTTTGTTTTGGCATAATCTACCTATGTTGGATTTAGGGGCCTTTACAGATCCACCGGATTTGAGGTGGCCGGGCGCTCGGGGAACTAGCGGGGAACTAACCAACCTCGGTTGCGCGTTATGGTGACTAAGCTCGAAGGCTCCCGAGGGAGCCTCGGCTCGGGCCATCACGCTAATATTTTTTCACCGGTGTAGGAGGCAACCAAGCTCTTAGGGCGCTTTGGCGGACGCTCCATGGAGTGACTAGGCTCCCGAGAGTCCCCCGGTCCCCCGGCTTGGGCTGTCACTTAATACCCGTTTAGCATTCCGATTCGAGAGTGCCCGAGAGGGCCGGACCTTTGATCGATCGGTGACTATGGTCTGACTGGAAGAATTTCTAAAGCTATCGTTACTACTACTATCATTACTTCTACTTAGTTTCTCAAGCAGTTTCGATGAATTGTACCGAGGTGTGAAATCGGTTTCGAGCCACTTTGATGAATAAGGTAAAGCAATACAATATTCCAGTGGTGTGGGAGTTATATATTAACTGTTGTTTAAAATATGCGTGTGTGGAACAAGTAAAGTAAAAAAATTATTTATTAAAATGTTACTACAACCATCATTCCCATTAGTGCTTCTATGATATTCAGTAAACTCATAAATATACTGTCAAGTCTTTTGTCATTTGTGGGGCTCATAAATAACTAGAGAATTTCTTACGTGCATCAATTTCGTAAGATCTTTCTCTGTTTTAACATATTGTATAGAATTCAGTCACCTACTTGTTGACCTACCAACGAAAATTGATCCATAGTACGAGTGATATCAAAAATAAAGTCCTGTTCACTCTGTCAACCTCAAGTGTAATTAAAGTCAGTTGGATGATTCTCTTTTGCAGTGGGTTTTATTGCAAATTTTAGAATGATTCATGTTTTGCCGTTTTTAAGTTCTTCGTTTTGATCTATCTCGTTTTCTGGATTATTTTTAGCATGTACATGCAAACGATCGCGAAAATGGTATTGGGAAGAACACGCAATTGCTCAAGTCTTATCTGCACCAATAAATACGAAGTCAATTAAAGGAATCGCTCCAATAATTGGTTTTTAAAGCAGCCATCGCCCAAGTTGCGATGGTGAAGTAATAAACGAATTACCCGTGCCGCGAAATAAATCAATGAGCGGTGTAATTAATGGCATTGATATTTAAATTGCGACGCTCGTGGCAAATACCGGGCCGTGGCTCAAATACCGTCTTAAGCAATCAGCTCTGAAAGGTCGGTTGACCTTTAGTTAGCGAGGCTTGATTCGGAACTCCATTGACATTTAGGCCGCTGTGAAGCGCTTTTGCCGCTTTCTTAAGAGCCTTTTATTAGAATACTGGCCTGTGAATGTATGCAATTAGTCGTGATAATTATGAAATGTTTTTATTCTACTCGTACGAACAGAAGCATAAAAGTGTTTTCGTGTTCCTCTTTCTTTCAAGTATCGGAGTGACAGATGTAATCGCAATTATATTTTGTACCAATGTAGTTTATGGGCCGTACATTTTATATACTCTTATCCATGAGAAAGCCTATCCTAGGTTTTTGTTCAGTATCGATTATTAATCGAAAAAATCGAAAATCGGATTGCAGCCGTGCATAACACCATTAACATAATGAGAATTAAATTACTATGACCTGTGCTCGTCGAAACTGAAGTCTTTGTGCCGACTTCGTGTACGTCGCATTTGTCTTCATTTGGACTCAAAAGTAAAGACAAAAATATAAACGATTAAGCATTGTTGAATGTAAGTTTTGTAAGTAATTCTTATATTTTTAATAAAATAATAAATGTTCCTGTGCAATAAATGAAGTATCGATATGAAAATTCGTAAAATCTTCAATACCTTTCACATTCTACATTTTTGGCGTGTCCCGTCCATTTCGCAATATTATTTTATGTCCATTACTTTTAATTTCGTCATGCATTCATTGTGGTTAGCCCGTCAATAAATTGTGCTTTTTCTCACTTTCTCTCTAACTTTTAAAGGTAACATTAGCAGACAAACAAAGCGGGTAAGAAATCTATCCACTTCCGATACAGCAAGGATAGTCCAGTGGCAAATCAACAACAAATGTACCTCCGCGTCAGGTGCACCGCGTATAATTCCCGATGCGCCGCCGCCCACTCGTTATTCAGTTCCATTTTTGAATTCGCGTCGCCCGCCGACCGAACCGAGTTAATACCTTGTTATTAACCAATTACCGAGAAATGTCGCGGACGCTCTGTCATTTCGCGTCGAAATCCCCCGCCGCGTCTCTGGGCGCTAATTTTGTTCGGTTTTTTGATATCACGGACGAAATTATTGTTGGTTGTTTAAATGTAAAGGTAGTCATTTCCCGGTGATTGATCGGAGTTTCAAGATTACCTTTCAAAGGAATTTCCGTTGGTACGCAAATTCAGGATTTGGGTGAATCGTTGCTACATCACAAGAGTCCGCATCTAGGGCCGTAACAGTTTGATTAATTATGAAACATATCAACGGGCTGTGAAAATGGAGTTTTTTTTATATGTGAAAAGTTGCCAAGGGAGCAGGCGGTTCACCTGATGTGAAGTGAATACCGCCTCCCATGGACATCAGCGACACCCGAGGGTTACAGATGCGATGACAACCGGCTTACTTTTTTCCAATTAAGTTAACCGTTATCTAACAGATAAACAATATAATCGATCTGGAATCGGGGAAAACTTTAAAATAGGCTTTATAATGGCGATAATAAAATGCAATGTTTGTATTGTCATTTAGTGCAGTAAAACAACCAATGCAACAAAATACTCAGCAACATTCGTTCAGTTAACCCGAAGAAATTTTCCTGTTCAACGACGGATCGCTAAGAATGAGGAATATCTCCATTTCTTTGCTCTCTACGTCTCGGGCTAACTTCTGAATTCCGCTGTCCATTTCTTAAATGCTACGACGAGCGAACAAATTCTATTTCTCATTACGGATGAGATTTTGAGATACCACTTTTCGATCAAATAATTTTAAATAACTACGGAGATTATGTTATATAAAATAATAAATTATTCTAATAATTGAAAAATTAAAGACTATTGGACGTCAAATGCTTCAGTTTGTCCCGTGACCATGAATACTGCGAAACATTCGTAATGTCAGCAAATACAATTTCAAAATATACATGTTAGGATATAGCGACATCTACTTTATAGGGTTAAGCAATATTTTTTACACCAAGTAAAAATTTAAAGAAGTTATATAACACGGATAAAACAAGTTAATTTGTACAAAGGAGAAACTTTTTATTACTTCTAAGACTATGGCTAAAATCTCACTTTGACTTTTATGGCAATTTTTTTTGAGGTTTATGACTTGTAAAAGACAACTAAATCGCTAGTTGATCAATTATAAATCATTTTACAGGATATTTATGGTTTGTTGTTATTTAAATTAATTATACATTCATCCTGTGCATATTGTTCTTAAAATATAAGGTTTTTATTTTAAGAACAATAAGCAAAAGAATATAGACTTAAAATTACGCATTATTAGTAAGTTTGCTGCTTGTGGACAAGTTGGAGGGTTGGAATACGGCGGGCTCTGCAATTACGGCAGAAACGTTCGCACAAAGGGAGAAGGTTTTGCGACAGACGAGTGTAGTCACGATGCTCGAGATTAAGGAAACACTGACAACCATGCACATCCCTTGCGAGCCGAACCGAGAAACGGACTGCGTACATAACCGTTTCGTAAGCAAGTAAACTTTACCTTTATTTGACAAGCTGACTAGCCTAGTGGATAGTGAATCTGTCTCCTGAAGCAGAAGGTGTGAATTCGATTCCCACTACTGGAAATATTGTGTGATGAACAAGGTGCTTTTCTAGTGTAAGCAATCATTGCTTATACATCTATAATATCTAGTCATTTACAAAAGAAAAGTATGTTTAAGTATATTTATCAGTTAGTTATCCCTACTACAAGTTTTGCTTAATTTGGGATCTAACCCAAATCACATATTATATAAAATTCACGATAACGCATCGTCACATTCTGCTAAAATAACAAATGTGTATTAGAAAGCCTCAAGTGTGGAATTGATGATGTATCCGCCATGCAGCACGGACCCCAAACTTTTCGATTATCTATATTTACGTAAATTACAAAAAAAAACTTAGAGGTTATCAAGCCCTGTGTGCGTTCTACGAATTGAAGAATGGTTACACAGCATCACATAATGGCTTTAAATAAATCTTTCAAGAAATATGTAAATAGTAATATGAAGATAAACTTCGAATAAAATTAATGGATGATTAACATAAAAGGATATAAATTAAACTTATTAGGGTTGCCTGAAAGAAACTGCTACCATTGCTGAGTCCTATATATAACAACGCTGTTTCCTGTATATTTCTTTCTATGTACTTCCTTGCGTGCAAGTGTAACCTCGTATTCTAATTAAAATCAGATCCTAAGATTTGATCTTAATATAATACCTGAACGTATTCATCGCAAATCCATTTATGTTTACGAAAAAGAAATCGACTTCAAATATATAGGCTCTGTAATAATTTTATAATTGATTTTCAGGAGGTCCCTACGTATCTCCGGAGCCCAAGATCCAATACCAATGAAGTTAATAAGAGATCACCTGGGAAGCACCAGCTTTCAAATAGAAAAAGAATCATCAAAAATCGCCCCACTCAATCGAACGTTCTGAGGTAACAGCCATCAAAAAAATGCAGTCGAATTGGCAACCTCCTCCTTTCTTGAAGTCGGTTAAAAATAATAAAGTTGCTTAACTTGCACCGCCAAAGTATATTTATACGAGCCAACCACCTTCATTCGTGTTGTAAAGGCGTAGTTCGAGCACTCATATTAAATATCCGGGTCATCATAAATCGTGGCGGACAACCGTACTTATATCCGTGCAAACACGCCCGTCTATATCCATTTGTCAAGCGCCACCGGCAGTTTCGCGCGAGGCGGCACACTATCGACTGCGCTAACTCGCAAACGCTCCGAAGTATATTCGTGTTAGACAAAGCAAGCCCCGCGAGTAATTCGCTTGTTAAACGATGTGCAAGATTTACATTTGCAGCGCTAGAGCTCCTTATATCTTTCCTCGGTCTTTGCACGAGGGCTGCGCTAGTAGTCGAGTTTCACTGAGCTATTTTTGAAGTTAAACTTCTTTTAGCGCGTTTGGAAAAAAAATTTTTACGACCCGCGTGCACATCGACAACCAAAAACCGACCAATTTCACGTCGTCACGCTGGCAATCATCAACGACTTTTTGACGTTTACCTGCAATTGCAAGTTATTTAAATAAATAATTTGCAATTGTAGGTTCAAGCATTTCAAGCATTTGTCATTAATATAGAGTACTGCTACGGGAGATAATTTTTTAGGTTATTTTAATTTTGTTCGCTAAATAGTTATAACTTTTTACGTGCTAAGTACACACACTTTTTTTTTTTAACAATAACACTAGATAATTACACTTAGATTAGTACACTATGAGGGTCACTGTGGAATGGTTTAATCGGTCACCGCGATAATTGCTTTAGTAGGTAATTGAGTATTATTAAAAAGATGTTCAGTCCGTGCCGGGTGTACTTTGTGTACACGCAACACGATACAATAATGTTTGTGAAACTCTAAGTAAACAATTTTCATATTAGTAATTAACTATTAAATAAACAATAATTTATTAAAAAAAATTTTTCGAAGTATATTTAATCCTCATATTCTTTTCATGTGACACCTTCTCAAAAACGAGCTGGCGGTTCATCAGATGTCAGTGATAGCCGCCGCCTATTGTCATTTGCGTATGGTTGCAGTTCCTTGCCACCTTATTATAAACTAGCGACCCGCCCCGGCTTCAATGCAATGTTATACATATAAATCTTCCTCTTGAATCACTCAATCTATTAAAAAAAACCGCATCAAGATCAGTTGCGTAGCTTTAAGAATCTTTAAGACTTTGTTTTACACTATGTAGTGATGATTGGAACCCGGTTACCTCAGTCACCAGACGAAACGCAGAATTATAACACTCCCACTTCACGCTTGTCTTCTACTGACCCCGACGAACTTGCCCATTTGTGCAACAGTGAAGACTTTTGCGTGGCCCTAGCACGGTATCTTAAAGAAACTTTATACTTAAGACTAGCTGACCCGGCAAACGTTGTTTTGCCATATAAATTATTTGTAGGGTAGAAAAAAATTTTTGGGGTGGACCACCCTTAACGTTTAGGAGGATGAAAAATAGATTTTGTCCGATTCTCTACCCTGGCCGACATGCACACAAAATTTCACGAAAATCTGTCGAGCCGTTTCGTAGGAGTTCAATTACAAACCCCGTGACACAAGAATTTTATATATTAGATGTTCCCAAAGAAAGCACCTTAAAAACGTCTCTTTAATGCTTTTTTCTTTTTTCTGTTTACCTTTACATAATATACACCTTACAAACCAAAATCTTCATCGAAATATAATAGCGAATTCTCTCCCATGTTTGTGAATTCAATTTGAATAATTGAAACTAAATTCAAACAAAACTTACCGACGTGTTATGTATGTTAGCATTGGACAGCGGATTTAATTTAATATCCATCACAAACTGCCTTACGAGTTTACCTTTCATGTTACCAAACCGAAATTCCTTTTCGAGTTGAGATTGTTTACAGCCCCTATCAAATTAAACTATTCAGCAAGATTTGATTGAATAACTGATATTTAAATTTTAATTAAACGTACTGCTTTCAAAATACTGATAAGTTACGTAATATATAAAATCATTGCTTATTGAATAGATTTCACTACGTTTCTCATAATTCTTACGTATTATTCTTAATTATTTTCTAATTCTTAAGAATAATCGAGGACCTTGTATAGAAAGTCACTCCCATAATATATAAGTCTTTGTTTACACTCGTAAGTGTGTATGACGTGAACAGAATGGATGAATTAATAACCTTAAATAAATAACAATATGTACATTATAGTAATCGCCATGCTTGGCTAATGTATGTATGTTTTACACATGCTATTAAAATATACAATAATAACCCCACGCAGTGTCACTTTACACTAATGAATTTAACACACTTGCACTGTCATATTTTTTAATTTTCCCAGTCACGAAGGTTGAGCTTGGGATGTTTTCCTTCACCAGTTAGTTTGCACGAATAGAAATTTATTTATTTCAGATTGTGCGAGCCAGCAATAGGAAGATGATGCAAATGTTTGTCTGGTCCAAAAGTTTCAATGATCGTGTTAATGATAACTAAACTGTATTGGTAAGATTAATCGCATCTTCAAAACTTGAGCAAATTTCACAAATTCCAAATTGATGTCTCCAACTGTATAACGTCTAACATTGTAAATCGACATTCAAGGGGAACTCACAAGTTAATTCACAACTACTTAGCCGTAAATTACAACGGCGTTGGTTCGCAAACTCTTGGGAACAGAGCACTATGAATGTACATAGTTCCACTAACCGTATCAGTATCTGACACCATTAAATTCTTGAGAGGTTTAAAGTGTGCCTTGCGGGTTTTTGAATTTGAGGAACAAACGTTGCGCAACACTTTACGAGAAGACACAATAATGGATTTGTAATTTCGCACGTCGATATTCTGTGAAATTTTGTAACTTCCCCTGAATAACTGGCATATTCATCATCATTATAATTTTATATGATACTACATTATATCAATACATTATTATTTATTTTAAAGTTTTTTAGTGCTAATCATAATAAGAAACAATTTCTTTTTCTTATGTGAGAAGCAAGTGAGCTGGCGGTTCACCTGATGTTAACGACTAACCGCTGTCCACGGTCGTTCGCAACACTCGTAGGGTTGCAGATGCGTTGCCACCTTTTAACTAAGAGGATCCCGCACAAAGGTTAAGCATAATTATTAAGCGAGGAAATGCTGCCAGCATTGCCGCGTGGACTAGTTTTATTAAATAATTTAATGAGAATGTAAATAGATACGTGCTATAACATCCTGTAAGAACAGTGAAGATTAAAGGTAAACATCTGATTTTATATCGTGAGTAACTAAAATATTCCCTTTGCAGCTTTCCCTAGCAGTTGGTGACTAGCCTTGTTCCACTCTCTCGGGAGGCACAGGAAGATTAAAATTTCTATGTACATTGTTTCATAAAGTGGAAGGTTCGTAGCATCTGTTCTCTGACAAGGGTCAGCTTAGGTCAGCTAGGGGTCTGACGGATTGCGCCTTTATTCCACCTTATACGTGTAGCGACTGTTGTGACATTTCACGTGTTATAAAATAATACTATATATGCTATGTTGTATGATACATTTTAAAATATACAAAAAATATATATATTCTTAATTAAATTGTGGGTATTTATTTTTGTCCTTATAATGAAATTAACTTTCGCTGTTTGATGATAATTGTCGACCGCATAGTTTTGTAGGTTAGTTTTATAGGCTAGAGGGTCTGTGCGCGTTACACAACGGTGCTAGTTAGAATCTCGAAAAAATAATTAGATAAATTTTTCTATGAAAAAACTCACATGTAACTTTAGCGATTTGTCTCTTCGGCGATATTCATATTATTCGTCTAGATTCGGTCAGAACATTTTTTCATAGAAATATTTTACGTTATCACAGTTAATATTGCCGACATCTCGAAAACTATAGCATTTTTGTTAACAGGCAACTGTCGTGTCAGGCCAGTAGTAAATACAAGAAATCCTTAAAGATACTCAATCCGTCCTTTATTTTACAACAATGCCCCATTCTAAAAATCTGGATGGACTGTATGAAGAATGATATGTCTGTTAGGGGTGAGTTTTAAGATGACGGCTGTTAGAGGAAACTGGAAGGAAAGGACATGATTTGCCAACCCCATGTGTGGGATAAGGGAAGAAGAATGAGAAAAGAGAAAGAGCTCTATTCAGGCCACCACGTTTATGTCTTAAAAGGCTTGCTGAATTTTAGTAGCACTAGCTACCTACGCTACAACGGTAAAGCGAGAGTTATTTATAATCAATGCAATAACCGATCTCGAAGCGTATGCTCTCAGTATTAAAACGGTCCAAATTATACGCAGCAATTCTATAACAGCTAACATTGATTGTGGGACTGAATGACTTTAGCCGATGTTGAAACAACGCCGATCGTCTTGGACCGCTATTGTTGGACACAAAGCACACTCGGTGAAGGGAAAGCGGAAAGTTATAAGAGGAGCGGAACAGATATTTCATTTAGATTATTTTCTGTTTCCCTTTTTATACTTATTTATAAACAACTCGAGTTGTGATTGCAATAGATGAACTTGACGGTTCTTGAGGGATCTTGAGGGATCTTGGAAGACATATATATCATATATATCCTGTGTTGCAAGGCCGTTTTACAAACATAAATTACACGTGGACAAACGTCGAGATGCGAAACAATTATCCGTGGGACAAGTATGGATCACTCAAACTTCAATTCCATCTTATGTTTGCAACTTGAACCACACGACATCCTTTTTGTTACTATCGTGAAAACGATCAAAGGAATCCAATGGCAGAAATGGGGAACTATTAGAAAAAAGTAAGTACGAAATGGTCTGGGAACTAGCACAATAGTACTCGTGTTAAATTTAACACAAATTCGTCTCCGTTATTTCATACAAACTATGTGTATTTCATATGTTAAGCTATAAATGATATATCATCATCATCATCATATCAGCCGTAGGACGTCCACTGCTGAACATAGGCCTCCCCCATTGACTTCCACTTCGACCGGTCGTTAGCGGCCTGCGTCCAACGCGTCCCTGCGATCCTGGCTAGGTCGTCCGTCCGCCTTGTGGGAGGCCTTCCTACGCTGCGTTTGCCGTCACGTGGTCTCCACTCGAGAATCTTTTTGCCCCAACGGCCATCGGTTCTTCGAGCTATGCGCCCTGCCCACTGCCACTTCAGCCTGCTGACTCGCTCTGCTATGTCGGTAACTCTAGTTCTTGTTGTCTTGTCTTCTTCTTAACTCTAATTTAACTTCTGATATATACCATAGTAAAATTTATAAACCTCGTACGCACACAAACGATTCTCGTCTGTATTAAACTGTAGAACTTTCTATTCAAGGTTGAGAGGTAGAGAGGGGAAAGTATTGCATATTGTAATCAGTAAATTAAGAATGTGCATCAAATATCTAGAAAGTCCATATGCAATTAGTCATTATAATAATTGCAGCTATGAACTGTTGCAAGAATGGGTAGGTGCGTCCGGGGAATGTCCAGGCCTCACAAAACACCGGCGTGTACGTACAGACTCGTATTATGTATTATACTTTCACGTTTCGCTTATGAGTGAGGTAACCAAAGCCCACTTTTTAGGGTTCCATACTCAAAGCATAAACTAGGAACTCTATTACTAAGACTCCGCTGTCTGTCTCTCCGTCTGTCACCAGGCTGTATCTCATTAACCGCGATATTTACACGGATATGACAGTTGGAATTTTTACAGGTGATGTATTTATGTTGCTGCTATAACAACAAATACTAAAAAAATAATAAAATATTTAAGTAGGGTTGCCATACAGCAGGCACTTTTTTTTCGCCGTTTTTAGGGTTCCATACCCAAAGGGTAAAACGGGACCCTGTTACTAAGACTGTCTGTCTATCCGTCTGTCATCAGGCTGTATCTCATGAACCGTGATAGTTAGAAAGTTGAAATTTTCACAGATGATGTATTTCTGTTGCCGCTATAACAACAAATACTAAAATACAATAGACACGATGTTTTTGCCGTTTTTATAGATAATGGTACGGAACCCTTCGGGTGCGAGTCTGACTCGCACGTGTCTGGTTTTTTTATGTTGGCAACGCATTTGCAACCCGCCAAGTGTGGTGATGTACATGAGCGGCGGTAATCACTTAACATCAGGTGAACCGAATGCTCACTCGCCAGCTTTTCACATTAAAAATACAAAAAAAAAACACAACAGCCTTAGAACGTAAACTGCAAAGGTGTCAAAATGTTCCCACACTTGGACAAAAGCAACTTAATCTAAAAGGGAAAGGTCCCGTGACCTAAGGGGCCGGTCAAGGGTCAAGGAGAAGCAAATCCAGCTTTGGTCAGGGCTTAATGGAAACTACTCGACATTTGGGATCCCATCGTAATGTACAAGCTAAGCGTAGCGTAGTGTAGTCTATTTTATAGGTCTGCACAGTGCTAGATATCTTACTTACTATTTAGTAGTCATTTGCGACATTGTGGGGTATGAAGATATTTTTTTTGTTCATTTAAAGAGCGTAAAGTGTCTCCCTCATTATTTTTATTATTAGAGATGGTAAAATCATGTTCGTTTATAAATATGCATTTACAAACTTCTACCAATTTTTTTGTTACACAACAGGTTTACTATATTTAACACTATCAACTTTGTCGAGTAGGCATTTCCTTTCATCGTACAACGTAAGCGTAAACAATGGCGGCTCGGTGTACTATCCACGAAGCCATAACGTATGTTTATGTCTCAATCTGTGCCCGTAATAAATTATTCCCGTCCCATGGCGGAGCGTTCAATGTATATTATTATAAATGAATAGTAATTCACGAATTATAGTCGCAGCTCCCAAAAAGCTATTCAACTTGAAGATTTATTCGACAGTCCCATATTACGCATGCTGTTTTATACGTCGAATGAAAAGTGGCCCCCTAATAGGGCTCTTGGGGTTATATTGCCCCCGTGTAACTCTCTTGTCATTACCACTGACTTTTATGAATATAAGCCCATTCTAATTGTTGACAATGACGCAGCGTGCTGCCCCGTTTTTATTGAACAAATATCATCTGAACACCAAACATCGCTATTTATTATTAATCAGCACCGTAAGAGCTAAGTTACTTGATTAAACTAATGTTATAAATAAATTTGATATCCTTTTATTACAAATAAATGGCTAAAAATATGAAATGTTTATTTTAAACCGATCATACAATGGTAAAAAAGGTCTAATAGTCTAGCTGGTTCTTTTCATCAAGAATTACAATCGAAATCACTAATCAGTTAATTAGACAAATGTCTTTCATCTATCTTTAATGTAGTGCATTCGTAGACTGCGTACATATCATTTTATTTTTTATTTTATGAAAAACCAAAAGCTAACATAAGATAAATAAGAAAAAAATAATAACAAGCCAGCCAATTACAGGTTTTCACTGATAGAAACTAAATTATTTAAAGTTTAGTCATTCAAGGTATG